GTCGGAAGGAGGGACTTTGTAGAAAACGAAGCGTTTGAGAGAGGCGGGGCATAGAGGACCCACAATAATGTACAGTATTTGAAAAATAATGTGTTTTTTGAACATTAAAGCATGTCAACATATTCTGTTACACCAAATACACAAAATAATGATCTTTAAAAAAGCATCATATGACCCCTTTAAACAACACCTGATCAGATTTAATTAGTTATAAATAAGATGCACAAAACTATTACTTATATTTTTGAAGCAAAGTCAAAATGAACTTAAACTTTATGAGACTTAGATTATTACATATACACTACCATTCAAACGTTTGAGGTCAATTAGATTTAATGTTTTTGAAATTAGTCTTATTGCATTTACAATTTAAAATAAAATAAAATATTTTAAAATGTATTCCTAAAGCTGAATTATCAGCAGCCAATACTCCAGTCTTCAGTGTTACATGATCCTTTAGAAATCATTCTAATATGCTGATTTGGTGCTCAATATATATATATATTTTTTTTTAATTTTATGAATATTAGAAACAGTTGAGTGATCAAATATTTTGTGGAAACCATGATACATTTTTGCAGGATTTTTTGATGAATAGAAATGTCAAAAGAACAGCATTTATTTGAAATAGTAAAGACACTTATAATGTTCTAAAGGATTACAGCCACGCTTGATTAATTTAATGTGTCCTTGTTGAATATATATCTTTCAAAAATAAAATCTTAGTGGTAGTGGTAAAATGGTAGTGTACATACACATATACATACAATAACATAACTTTTCCTGTTGAAATTGTAAATCATGTTTCACAAACCTTTAACCTTCTAAAAACTGTGTAAACATCAAATAGAGCATGAATTTACATTGGACCAAAAACAGAGAGGACTTTGCATCATCACTTCAGACATCCAACAAACACTACTGAAACTAGTCAATACAGACACGGAGCTTTCCATAATTTTATGGTAAAATAAACTTTGTCCATGAGTAATTATGCTGAGTGTGGAAAGAGGTTTTAACCAGACTGCTGAGTGTGCACAGTGGGATAATGGACCTGGTAAATAAATACAGCAGCACTCCACATTATGAGGTCTCTATGCAAAGAGTAGCTCAAATATCTGCTAACTAAATGCTTCACTATTTCCAGGAAAAAGCATTAATTTCATTCTGCTGAGTTTACAGCAGACCAACCACACCTAAAAGCTTAAGTGTCCATGTATTCGTTCAGACAGGCAATAATCAAACAGTTTTGCCAAGAGATCTGACTCAGCTCTCTTTAAATTTCATACTCCAAACAACATGAAAACTCAGCATGAATCTGATTTTTTACATTTGTATTGTATTGTATTTGAAAACCAATTCAATTCTGTTTCAGTGTGAATGGTCAGTTGGCAACTCAAATGTTTTATTTAGAACTCATGTGCATGTAAAGTCATACAATGTATTATCATGCAGGTGTGATGTTTCAATAGCATTAGCTTACAGACTCACCTTATGACAAAGTCTGTGTCATTGTTGGCGATTGTGACCACAATGTCAGGCACATTGTAAGGAGTGTCCAAGTGACTCTCCATTGTGGCCCTGAAGAACACAAAAGAATCCCTTCATGAGCAATCTCGTATGAACATCTGATCATAACAAACTCATGATGAAAACTCAGTAGAGGCCTGAAATAACTGTGAAAGCTCTCCTTTCTCCTCTGACTGAGAAACATGATAAAACATGATAAAAAGTTTTGTGAGCAAGAAAACTGCATGTGACAGGGATATGTCTAAGACACTGGAAGCATCTTCAGGTCTTGAGCAGAAATTTCATTTTCTTTGTGGGTATTATGATCAGAATCAGAATCAGCTTTATTCGCCAGGTGTGCAAACACACGAGGAATTTGTTGTGGTTTTTTAAGGTGCTCCTGGTACATACATACAGTGGGTACGGAAAGTATTCAGACCCCCTTAAATTTTTCACTCTTTGTTATATTGCAGCCATTTGCTAAAATCATTTAAGTTAAGCCTAGATGTTCTAGTGCACAGAGATCTGTAGCGTCTGCCTGAGGGGAGAAGTGCAAACAGGTTGTGTCCGGGGTGAGAGGGGTCTGTGATGATGTTTCCTGCCCGTTTCTTCACTCTGGAGTTGTACAAGTCCTGAAGACTGGGCAGGTGCACACCAATGATATATAGGCTAGTACAGTGTTTCCCAACCGGGGTGCCGCGGCACCCCTGTCGAGAGCAGGGGTGATGGACAGCCTGATGGATGAAGCTGTCCTTCAGTCTGCTTCCGGCCACACTTGTATCTGTTTGTGAACTGGTTTGGTGACTTTAATGAGTGGTCTGTATGCAGGCATTAGCATGACAGTGATGTGGTCTGAGGCACCGAGGTGGGGGAGGGGGAGGGCCTTGTAAGCTCCTCTCTGTGTGGTGTAAACAAAGTCCAGAATGTTGTTTCCCCGAGTTGGAAAGTCTATGTGTTGGTGTATTTTTGGGAACACGCTCTTTAAGTCTGCGTGGTTGAAATCCCCAGCCAAGATGAGAAAAGCATCAGGGTGGGCTGTCTGCTGCTCACTGATGTGCTGGTACAGTTCATTTAGTGCCTCGCTCCTGTTGCTGTTGTTGGAGCTGGGAGGGATGTATACAGCAACGAGCAACAAATATGTCCAGCGTAATATTAGTTCATTTTAATATATTTGAACAAAACCTAATCAATATTCATAACAAAAATGTTGTGAAGTCATAAACTTCCACCAATCAAAAGTTCTTCAGCTGACACTGTCCCTACCAATTTTAATACAAAGTCATGCCCATGCCCAGAAATCAAAAGAATGCAGTAGCCCCTCACTGCAGAACACAAGATCCAGGGGGCGTGGTTGGATCCACATCTAGGGGGTGGAGATTGGTAGGTTTAGGGATCAGGGGGTGGAGACGGGTAGGTTTAGGTATATGTAAGGTGGGAGGAGTTGGATCGGGATCCAACCACGCCCCCTGGATCTTGTGTTCTGCATTGAGGACCATCTCAAAGAATGAGGCATGTGATGAGTTTCACAGTCTGTGTCTTGGGTCACTCTCAGTAAGCCAACTGTGACTTGCTCTTCTGCCAAGAACACGCCGTTCTCTAGTGACTGGCTGAAGAGGAGTCTGATCCAAACATAAAGAACCATGAGAACAAGACCAGACACATGTCTCTCAATTTGTAAGACAAGCACAATACAGGGCTTTGGAGGTATTTGAGTCAAGGTTTAAAAGTTCTTTATGCTTATTATAAAAGAATATTTCTCTGCCATACAAAAAACTCCTATGTTCATGGTGGCTGTACAATAACAGATGAAGAGCATCTAAACATTCCATGTAAACATTCCTGTTTCACGCTTGCGTGTATTGTATGAAAGTTAAGAGTTTAGTGGTCCTATTTAGTCATGAGAACTTGCACAGACCGGGTTAGTAAACAATTTAATCGCATTAGTCTCATGTTACCACACGGAGTTTAAATCATTTAAAAAATTTATTGTCATTTTTATCCCAATGCAATATATTTTTCCCTGAAGACTGTCATCATGAAGTAAACATGATTTGTTCTTTTTTAAAAGCAGAGGAACAAGTCAGAATTATGTTTTTGCCATAGGTGGCAACATGTCAGTTGCTGTTGATAGAGCTGAACTTGTATTGAATCCAGAGAACATTCCTTTTGAAAAAAGAACAAAACATTGGCGGTTTCTAATTTAGGTTTCCATCTCATTTGTAGAATAACTATAGACCTACATACTCCTCCACTGTATGGAGATCCATATGAAAAATGTTGGTTTTCAGTGCACTGCATTATTTTAAGAGGCTTATCTGTAGAGAATGTTTTGGATAGTTTGCCACCGTCATAGAAAACCTGTATCGTACCATTGAACTTGAACTGAACTTGGCAGGCAGTCCGTGTGGGTGACCTCATACGAACGTTACGAAGACTGCAAATATCAGAGAGAGAGAGGGGAGCTATACTAGAACAGGTCCCATAACAGGAACTTCAGCTTTCTTATGGATACAATTATAAAGACCTCATAAGTGTGTCCTCATCATAGTAGCTTTCAACTAGATTTTTTGGTTTTCTAAAATATGTTATATGGGCAAGTGTGTATTCTGGGCAGTTGTTAGGGCACTGGTTTGTAGTTGCTTATTGGTCAAGTCAAAAGGGGGCCTAGTCTCAAGTCCATGAGATACTTGCACTGATTTGATCATCCAGCAGGTAAACAAAATATCAGCAACAGTGACAGTTATGCATGTCTAAGCAAGCTAAAAGAAGTTCAGGAGGTTTTTTAACATAGTAACAGAAAAATAACCAGCTAAATGAATAATTACCAGTGAAGCCACTTCAAAATCATTTGTTTTAAAATGAGTTTGACACCATAAATCAAGATAAATGTGTTATGCAAAACCTTTCAAATAACGTTAACGTTTTTCATTAAACCTTTTTCAGAATTAGTAGTATTATTTCACTTTGACCTTTTCAATAAGGATTTAGAGGAGGAAAGTCTCTAAACAGGGACGGAGCTCCGTGTTTTCTTTTTTGCATTACTTATTGCTGTTTATCTCACTATAATATCTGGCACTATATTGCGTCTCTTTTTAGCTGAAATGCTTTTGGCATTTCATAACTTCAGTGCATCTGATGGCTGGGTCACAATGACCCATGCTTGCCATAACTGCCTCAGATTGAATGGCCAGCAATCCTGTACAACCAGGAAAAGTTCCAAACTCAAATTCTTGCATAACGTGTCTGAAATGTAAACGACTTGCTTTTCCTGGCGTTTCACCAAAGGCTATAGTGTTAACACATGGTTACACTACAATAACCCCATCATGCACTGACAGACAGGAGAAATTGCTTAGACACCTATTTTTGGTCGTCGTTCATGTAGCAACAGATACCACTGTATCATACTGGTAAAAGTTCAATATTGTCCATATGAGCAGCTGCTAAGACAACACTCACCACAGTCCAAATAAAGCAACTGCTTTAACAGCAAATCTGACTGTCACAACAGGATTAGATAGTTAAGAGAGCATAGTAGAACGGGAGGTGTGTCGTTTGTGTCACATTGACCTATATGTGACAGGAATGTTACCTCATGGCGTTCTTTAGCAGCTCAGGCAGGATGTAGTCCAGCGGCAGTGGAATGAAGGGAAAGCGGGCCGCCACATGGCCATTAATGCGAACCCGTGGAGAGTTCCCGTACTGATGCTCACAGAGCCGTCTTGAGGGGAACAGAGGAGATCAAGACATTACACTACCATTACAAGTCTTTTAAAGAAATTTAGCACAATTTATTTCCAAATTTAAGCAAAAGTCTTCAAAATGATGTTTTTAAGATCATGAGAAACATCAAATAAACTGGTCAAAACACTGGCATTATACATAAACACAAACAAAATTGCATATAGAGAAAATGCGGCACATGCTACTGGTTCTGCTTCACCAGGTTACGCAAGTACTGGTAAATGAATTGCCGTCTTGAGCATTTCAATTAGTCTAAAGCATTTTTTTTAAATAATTTGACACTAATTAAAGAGAGTGTCTCATTCATAGCCAGAAAAATGTGGTCTCTGTCTGGTCTTTGAGGGACGGCTTTGATCATGCCACTGTGAAGAGGAACAGGGCAGCTCTGCTGATGCAGCATATTAATTGTCAGACTCTCATGAGACGAGCAGAGCAGCCTGACCTCCAATCTTGCATAAGACCACAGAGAACGGTTTTTAGGACTGTAACAACTAATCGATAATGAAACTAGACAATTATTTCAGATCAATCCACATGAAACCAAAACAAACATACTATTATTGGGCAGAATATGCTGCAAACTGCACCAGACTTTAGGTTGAAAGTCAGCTTAGTATAGAGGAGGAGAAACTGATCTCTCAGATCAGAATGAGAATACAGAGATATTCTGTCCATTTGTAGGCTGAAGGAATGAGTAACTGATTGGAAAAAGTGAAGTAAAATAAGAGGGATGGTGCAGGTGTATGAGGCTTTAGCAACTGCACGTTCCTCATAAAACCCGTGTCTGCATACTGCACACAACCTGCATTGTGAGTGTGACCTGATTCTTTTCAACAAAGAAATAACCAGGAAGAATGTCTGACATTTCAGCAAAAGCCTCTAAACTTTCAACCAGCTGATGAAGAGAAAAACGGAAAGTAACTAAGACAATAGGGGAAACATAAAAAAAAAAGACTGTGTTCTGATTGGATAATGCAGTTCAGGGAATTCTTTCTCTTACAACAGAAGCAAAAATCTTGTTCATCTGTAAGATCAGTCATTTAGATGACCATCTTACATGAGATGATTTATGAGGCAGAATTTACAACATGCAAGACATAAACGGATAAAGTGTTTGAGCCGCTGTATATGATCATCTTTAGGAAATGTGCGTAAGTGGCAATGTTATGAAAATTCAAGTTCTCTGACGAATGTAAAGACTTGAATGTCAAAAATAATGTGTTTTTTTATGCTGGTTCATTTGCTGGCTCATCATGGCATGCAGTAACTGTATTCACCAGAAAATATATTAAACCTTAAGATTTCTTCACAATATAACTATTTCTAATTAGGGCTGCACGATAAATCGCATGCGATATTTAACGTGCATCTTGTCAGTAAAGCCATTCTGTAATCAGCGGTAAATCTCCATCACGTGCGGGCTTTCACATGGAGCAGCATTAACTACACAGAGCAGTTGTTCACCGACAAGCTGCGCAAAACATGCGCAAAATATGATCGTGGTTTTGCGCAGCTTGTCAGTGAACAATGGCTCTGTGTAGTTAAT